CGAGGAGAAAGAATAAGATGAAGAAGAGGACAAGGAGGGTGAGGGCAGTGCGGGTCCTCTCACTCAATCTCCATGTTGAGGAGCTCCAGGAAGGCAGTGAAGGTTCCCAGCCGGTACAGGAGGAAGCTGTTGTGCTGAGACCAGTGCAGAACATCCCCTTCATTATCACAGTCTCCGAAGACACCTGGAGAGGACCAAAGGGAGGCACTGGTTAGGGGGGAGTTGCCTTTGGACCCCTGGAGCACACGGGACCACCCCGGGAAGCAGCTTCACTGCACCGACCTGGCACAACCCCAAGAGAAGGCTTCTCCCAAGCCCCCATGCTGAAGCCAGGCAGCGGATACATGGCCACATCCAGACACGGGGGATGTGGTCCTTACCCTGTGCCAGGTAGAGGATGGCCCGTGCTACTTTGAGCCGCTTGTCCCTGTTGACCACCTCCAGCCCATCCAGCAGGCGCATGACATAGGCCTTCTGCTGAGCCCCATCCAGCTCCAGCCACCTCCTGCCCTGCACTGGAAAGAGGACACGACAACCAGCCAGGTGCCTCCCTGGGGGTCCCGCTCTCACCCAGGGGGGCTACCCTGAGCCCTGGGGTGCTGAGCCCAGAGCTGGTACCTTGAGCGTGAAAATCCTCCTCGAAGCATCTCCTGTTGGTGCTGAGCTCGGGCTCCTCGGTGTAGCTGTACAGTTCTGATGGAGAAAGGGGTCAGCAGGGACCCGGAGGGGGTTCACCCTCCTCCTCATCACCAAGTTCCTCATGGGGCTCTGAAACATCCCTACGCACCCGAGGAGACACGGGGCAGAGACCTAAACTTAGCCCTGAGCTCTTCTGCAGCTCCAAGGGGCATCTTGGAGCCACCCAGTGCTACCAAACTCATCATTTTCATCCTCGTGTCCGGGCTGGGCTGTTCCCACGGTCCTGCTCACAGCGACAGTGCTCGAGCTGCATCTGTTATTTCATAGGGGCTATTTGGGAGGGTAATTTTCTGTCCCAGTTATGGTGTTTGCAAAGGGAGAGACTGCAGGAGCACCCAGGCAAGACCTGCACTGATTTCACACCCAGCAGCTCAGATATTTTGGGAGCTGCAAATAGGGGCTGGACTTGGAGGGAGATGATGTTGTGCCTGTTCCTATATAATTCCTACCTGTTCCTGTATAATTCCTATAGGTCCTATGGTGCTGAGCAGCACCATGGGGGACTGAAACGGTCCTGCAAGGGAGGAGTAAGGGTCCCTCGAAGAAAAAATGTGCTTTAGCCGGGCCAGCTCGCACAGCTGAGACACACACAGCTAAAAATAGCCTCTTAGCTGAGGGTTACGGGGCAGAAGCAGCTGGAGTAGCTGCAGGGCAGGAAGATACAGGATGAGGACTCGACCCGTTGTGGCACCCACGATAAAGGGTGACACTTCCCAGCCTGGGCTGTGCCACCGGGCACGCCACCCATCCCCTGCACGCCCGTCATCGTGTCCCGGGTAATTCGGAGCATGGGGTAATCCCCGTGCCCCCACACCTCCCTTTTGCTCATCCCCAGGGAGCGAGTGGTTCTCTATTAATAAATCCCTCTTGCTCTATTACAGCAAGGATGATACCACTCGATATCCATCCCGATTCCCGCTCGCCGACTCCCCAAGGGATTTTTTTTTTTTTTTTCCCTCCCCGGCAGGCACCTATTAATAGCATCCCAGCACCCAAACGCCATTTCACCTGCTAACTCGGCGCTGTGGGTGTCGGCATCCCTGTATTCGAACTCCAGGTTGGGGCAATCCACTGAGCCCTGTGGAGAGCGGTTTGGGATTAGCAGGGGGAGCTGGCGCATCCCCATGGATATTTCGGGAGGCGGGATGGCTGCCAGCACTCTCAGCCTTTGCATTAAAGCTCCTCCAGCCACTGGAGCAGTGACTTGTGCACGGATGATCTTGACACTGGTCTCCAGGGCTCAAGCGGGACATCCACGCAAGGCTACTTAAAATATGGTGCAAATTTGGAAGGCGAATGTAAAAAATAGCATTTCTCAAGTCCCAGGGAAAGCAGAGGCAGGACCCGAAGTGCCAGTGAATATTCGGTGCATTTCAGAGCCCCAAATAGGCTTAAAAACAAAGTCTGGGGGCTGGTTTGAAGCAAAGGTGCCTGGGAGGATGCAAACCCCCTGCGCTTAGTCCTTAGCATCCCAGATCCGACAGCTTTCGGGGCCGGGCTTTGCCCTTTCAAAGCCGGTAGGATTGTGGATCTCTCCCCTCCTCCCCTGCGGATGGGGAACTGGAGCATGAAACTTCGCCGGAGGATTACGGCAGGGCAGGGAACGGGCGGCCGCAGCCAGACGAGACCCAACGCTGGCATTGTGCCGCCGTGCCCCGGGAAGGTAACACATGAATGGCTAATCAACTAAATTAACATAATTTCTCATTCTGAGTCCCAGCATCCCTTCTCGGCAGCCAGGCTGGAACCGATGCTCATCGTCACGATTAATATTGATGACCCCAGAGGACGCACAGCTCCGAGCTGAGCCCAACTTGCTCAGAAAACGTTGGTTTCTCACCCAATTTTTGCAGCCAAGCCGGCGGGGCGGTTCGAGGAGCTAAAGCCGAGGAGGAATTTGACGAAGCGCGTGCAGCGCTAATCCGCTTGGAGAGGCCGAGCAAGAGGAGAAAAGCAAACCCCAAATTCACGGGCAGGTCTCGGGGGCCACCACTTGGGCACTGTCCCCCAGGGAGAAGGGACCCTTTTTTGGGTCAGCTGTCCCCAAGGAGCCCCTCGACCCGCAGCTCCTTGGTGGGGAAGCAAGGTTTTTCCCATCCTCTGCTCACGAGGGTTTGTCCCATGGTGGCTTTACCGTGGCTGGGGACATCAGTCGTGGGTCGGATCCTGGTGACCTCAGCCCGGTCCTGCTTCCCCCACCTGCCCGGTCCTGGCACCCACGAAAAGCCGGACGGGTGCAGCCGGGGAAGAGCAGTGGCGGTGATGGAGCCCCCGGGGGGGGATTAGTGGTTGGGTTATTTGGGCAGGAGGGGTGAAGGGTGATGGAGGGGACTGCAGCCCCTGGACGCGGTGGGAGGGTAAGTGGGTGCTTGGAAGGTGTGGGGGAGCCCAGGGCCAAGCTGGGACCCCAAACCCCTGCTGCCAGCTCTGGGGGTCGGGGGGTCAGTTTCCCTGGGGATCCCCACTCCAGACTGGGCAGCAGGACCCCACAACGCCCCCCTCCAGGGTGGAGGTGGCGGGGGCGGGGGGGGGTAAACCCCCAGGACCGGGACATGCCCCAGCTCTGGATCGGGCTCCTTCCAACGGCGGCCTGGCAGGAACCCCGACCCCCGGGGCAGGGACACCCCTCCCCATCTGGGGTGTCGTG